GGGCGCCCCGGGCCGGCCTCCCACCGCCAGGATGGGCCCTGGCCACACCCTTCCGCGCAGAACCCCTCTTCCCGCCGGGAAGTTCCTCTGGGAGTCTAACCTTGGTGCGCTCCAGCTGCGCCACGGAGGCGGGCCGGGTGAAATCAGGAAGCTGGGCGCCACACCCGGCCCCCTACCTGCTGCAGAAATTGCTTCCACTTACTCCCCCTGACCCCTCCTGAGGCACTGAAGCCCACACTCCATCCCGGTTCCTACCACCATCGCCATCCGGCCTCGCAGGCCCCCAGCATGGACCCCTGTGACCTGGGCATGAGGCTAGGGCACCAATTAGCTGCCACCCCAGGGAGCAGGATTCGACTGTTCCAGGCTGCGATGGGCCCGTATGTACCTGGTGGCTGGCCTGGATGCACGGGGCCTCGGAGCAGCAGCAGGTACAGGCCCGGGGCGACAGCAGCAGTGGTTAGATCCTTAAGGTGACTGAGCCTGGCTGGGGAAAGAGAGAGGCCAGAGGAGTCGGGGCCAGAGGCCTGCGCCCCATTGTGTCTGCTTAGCCTTGTGACCTGACCGCTGCTGAGTGGCCTCCCTGCTAAGCCTCTGCTGGGGAGACGCCACCAGGCAGGCCTGCGGAATGCTGTTCTGGCATGGACGCTCGTGGGGGCAGGGGGCTGGCAGCGTGCACAGGAACACTGCCAGGCTGAGCCAGCAGCAGGATGGGGACCATGGGGCCCTGGACCTGCTCAGGCCCAGGTGGTGGCTGGGCCACCAGTGTGGAAGGAAGGAGGGTTTCTGTGGGCCCCTCTTGTGGCCCATGCCATCATTCAGGTGTCTTCTAGCCTCCAGGACCCCCTGATCTGTCCCGTTTCACACTGGCTGCTGCCTCATCCTAGCAGCACCATCCAGAACCTTCCATCCCTCCCTACAGACGTGTCCATAGGCCTGCAAAGCTGTTCCAGTGCTGTCTGAGTTGGCTGCCTCACTCCTGAGATCTAGGGAACTCGGCCCTGCACGGGGTGACTTGTCTTGAGTGCCAGGGACGAGATAAAGGAGCAAACAGCAGATTCCTAGTTAGTCACCACGGTGGAGCTGCGGAGCTGGGTGGACAGATTTAAGGGGCCCCCTGGAGGCTCCACAAGTCAAGAGGAGAGGCCCCCACACAGGGCTGTCCAGAGCTGGAGAGAACACGAGGACAGAACCAAGCCAAGAGGAAAAGGAATACACATCAACATATAGAGGACAGAGACC